AATTAATGATTTGAGTATAAGATAAAATAAATAGAAACAACTCAACTAATCATTCAATACAATACGGTGACCATTTGAAGTGAATCGTGAGAACATAATTTTATCAAATCATCACAAGACAAGATTAAAACCAGTCATACAAGAAAACCCTAGAATCTTCGAACCTATTCACCAAAATTTTCTCATAACCCTAGAATTCCCATGACCCCAAATCCGAAAAACTGGATTCACAAAATTTAACCCTAATTCAGATAAAATAAACTTCAATTGAACTGGTTCCAATAAACTAGATTGCTGTATCAGGACAGGTCGGTCAAGAAATGTTCAAAAGATACAATTTTATACTAAAATTCCCACAGGGTTGTCCAAAGTCCCTGGTTTTTTCAAAACCTGTCGCTTTATAAAGGGATGGTTCAGACGTACAAATAAAAATTAAGATACGGATTGTAGAAAAAAACTGGTTTTGTGATGAAGGGTGAAGATTGTATAGATATCGTCTTGGAAGTATCTTTTTGTTAGTGTTTTTTAGTCTAATAGTACTTTTTGTGTGATAGTATGAACATTTAAAACTTGATTTTGGTCTCACATAGAATTATATTTTTCAAACTATTCTTTTTCCAATTTATAAGAATTAAAATCGAGGTCTACCTTCTGTAAAACGATTTAAAAAGTGAAATAAAAAATTAATAAAAAAAACACTCGAAAACAACATGAAAACGAGCCCCGCAAAATGTTTTCAGCCTCTGTTCGACTGCTTATACTCATGTAAAAAGCCAACGTCTAAGGCGCACGGAACGGGGCGAGGAGTGGGAGGGGGGGACCTCCGCGGCTCATGTATACACCTGCGAGTTGTCTCTGTGTGAGTGAAGATGTAAGTGTGAGCTTATATTTTCATTTCAATAGTTTTTGCATTGCATCAGTGGGAGTAAGATACAAATGTGTGTGTTAATACCGTATTGATTCAGCTTGTACGGTGGAGTTAGCAAGTTTATAATCTTAAAGATGTGTATTAGAGATATGTATTATAGTTATAAAAGTTTCTAACTGACTGCTTTCAAATGTGAAGTTTCTAGAACTTTGGAAATGTCTTTCTAGTTTAGTGATGATATTACGACAATTTCTTGTTTAATGGGGTATCGTAGACATTTAAGAGGACGGCTTTATTTACTGTTATAGTTTATATTCTGTATCTGACATTGGAGAATACGATTCGACAGGTACAAATGGACAATTTGTTATTGACTGAATTATTGTGCTGTATTTTATTTCACAATTAACTTTGGTTTAGAAGGATATTAATTGGTTTAACCCGCCATTGGTGACGTCAGTTTCACTTACAACATTGGTGACGCCGGTCTCATAGACCCATGATTTGGCAAACCATTAACTAGTTATTCTACTTTTAGTTAGTTTAGGTTTAATTAATCAATTAATTATAAACATATGTTTGGCAAGAAAACACAAAGAATAATTAAATCACAGCTTGTTTATTACGAATTAAACAATTGTACTTAAAACACTAAAAAACACTATGGTTTTACGCATATATTTTAAAAATTTCAATATTAGTAACAGTATTTAACTTTTTGTACTTAAATCAGCCTTTGTCAGTCTTATGACATTGCATACTCTTAGAAATTAAACAAAAAAATATATCCTTTTAACAAAAAAAAAAAAAAGAAAAGCATTCTCAAAAATCACTCTTCTTGGGAGATCAAACAGCTTCTGCAATAAGGTACTACATGCTCAAGGCACAGGTATTTCTCGCATTTTTGGCAAAAGTATTTAGTTTTTCTGTTTTTTTTGCCACCCACATTCATGGCAACGACCTTTACGTAAAGGACCAACAGAACCGCGTTCATCATCATTCTTCAAAATCTCTGAAATCCTTTCTCTCGTCAGTCTAGGTAAGTTTAGTTGTGTACGTCTTTCCCTCAGATGAGGTTCTATAAGTTTCATGGCTAAATTCTCTATAAAGTGAAGGCGTTGTAATTTTGCTTTGGGTACGGACTGATTGACGATGGGGTTCCTTGCTCCATTTTGTAAATTTGTCCTTTCCAAGGTAAAATGAAGAGGTGTTACCTGATGATTCTCGATCACTCAAATCCTCTTCGCTGTCCGTATTTCGATCTGATGCAAGATTTTCTGCTTCTACATTGCTCTCCGTTTCGCTATCCGATGATTGCTGTGGGCTTTCCTCGACGGATAAAACTTGTTGTAAAAGAGTCTCAAGACGACGCTGTTCTCTTTCGTGCGACATTCTGAAACGAATTTTTTATACTAGATAAAGGAATCTGTACCTATATTTATTATGTTTTTAAAAAATACTATCCATAAAATTATACAAAAATCACATTAATCAAATACCATTCAATAAAATAATTAAGATAACAGTAACTAGTACTAAGTTTTGATGTTATTCTAAGATTTTTTAAATTCTGTGCTAAATTCCATATAAATATTTTACTTACTTCTTTGGTAACGCCGGTCTCACGGATCGGGTTGGCAATAAAACTCTGGAACGTGCATTCGCCGCAAAGCCACGAGCGGCACTGACTGTTTAGGACTTAAAATGAGGCAGCTACTCAAAATCGCAACCCGAATAGACGGCGGGCGAAAAAGTTATTCGAATTTTTCGAGTCACCCGGTCTCTCAGACATATACGTCACCAATGGCGGGTTAATGTTCATTTTATGGTACTTTGAATTTGTATATAGTGTTACGATTTCGATTTTAAGTTTACCTTGTTATGTTGGTCGATTGACCACATGTGCGACTGTCAAGTACGAAGGTTTGATTTCTCGATTGAGGAATGGGCTTGGTATTTTTTTTTTACATCCTTTTGTGTTGAATCGAATTGAATTGTAGTAGGTAAATAAATTGTGTTTTGATAATCTCTTTCAGGAATTACAAATGTAATTTTGAATGCAATTTTGAAAATAATCTTAACAAATGTTATACGAAAATTGTTTGTCAAATAAGCTTTTTCATGTTATGGTTTTTTGGGTACTGAAAATGATAAAGTTTTTTTTTTCTTTTGAGCACGAGAGGTGAAGTCATAGGTAACAGATACAATCCATAAAAATGTGTTTAATCAATAAGCTGTTTTAATGATCCAATTAAAAATCTAACTTCTACATATTTTTTTTTATTTAAGTTTCATGTGCTTTTAGAGATAATCATGCGTATATATTCTTTGTTTTGCCCGTATAATAAACTTTTCACGACTTTTATATATCGGCTAAATTCAGCCTAACAGTATCGTCGTTGGGATTACAATAAGATATTAATAGAACAAGTAGTGGGATCTACAAATATGTACATAAATTATACAACTATTTAAAGTTTTGTTAGTAATTTTGTTTAGTAAAAGTTTACTGTTAAACCGAACAAAATTATGTTGTGTATGTAGGCTGTCTGTAATTAACGTTAAATATTTTGAAACGTTTTTATTTTGGCAATAAATTAGTAATAAATGTTGAACAAATACTTTGAGATTCAACATTCAATTACCTATTGTATGTTATGTACTAAAAACTCTACATACTTTAACGATACTACTATCACTGAATAAACACGACTACACGAACCATATAACAGCACATCTCATCAAAAACACCTACAACATAAAACTCGACAAAATGTTGACGACCCCGCGACGTTCACCGGCGGAGTTTGAAAAACCGAGCGTCTAAGGAGGCGAGGGGGTGCGCGGGGGGCACTTATATTTTAAGATGGCTTCCGAGCGAGAATATCGACGCGCGACCTCCGCCCGCACCCCCCACCCCCGCACTTACGCCGCGCTATTTCGCTAGCACACTGATTTGTGGTATAGTGTGCGCCGTATGCTTGTTACAATTTTTTATGGTATTTTGATATATTTTTTAAATGTTTATATGTTTTAACCATTAGTAGGTACTTTCTAATAATAGATTCATTGTCCAAATACGCCACAACAATGTATTAGTGTCATTTCCGTGTTTTTACATACTTTATATTTGAAGTCCACCCGCAAGGTAGGCAGACGACCTGATTAAGGTCGCTGGGAGCCGCTGGAACCAGGACGTTTTAAACCGGCCTATCTGGAAGACATTGGGGGAGGCCTATGTTCAGCAGTAGACGTCTTGTGGCTTACAATATTATAGATACAAAATTTATTTTCATTTGAACAATTGACTAATATTATAAAGCTGAATAGTTTGTTTTTTTGTTTGAACGCGTTAATGTCCGTAACTACAAGTCTGATTTGAATAATTCTTTTTGTGTTGGATAGCGCATTTATCGAGGATAGCTATAGGCTATAAAACATCACGCTACGACGAATAGGTGCTGAGCAGAGCGTGTGAAACCGCGCGGAAATAGCTAGTACTACTATATACCTAATTCAGAAATATAATTTAGTTAACAGTCAGCCGTGGAGTAGTCAAATAAAAATAAAAAGTTGTAGTATTTATGCGAGGAGTTAAGTATTATGAGTTAAAGGGAAAAATAGAAGGTAAGTCTATTGTCACACACCGATCGCTGATTGCTTACCATCGCGTGATCCGTCTGCTCGTTTGCCTCCTATTCCATAAAATAAAGCACTGGGCACAATTGAAAAAAATACACAGTGCAACACTCTGTACATCAATTTTTATTAGTTAAAAAAGTACTGCTATTACAATAGAAATTATATCTAAAATTATAAGTAAGTATAATATCTAAATTAATGTATTTAATTTAATCTGATTATAAGTAAGTAAATCTAAAATATAATTATAAAATATAATTATGTATTTCATTTAGGTAACCATTTAAACATTAATATAGATATTTCTAAATTACAGTTCTATAGAAATCACTTCTACAATATCACTATCAATTATTCGAAAATCAATAATTAATAATTTAACAATGACAATTATTAATTTAAGTCAAAGTAAACTTCTACGATCAATTCCCTAAACATAATCATATTATAAGTTTGTAATAAAACATTATGATTAAATAATAATAGTATTTCAAAAAATACCCGTGCTTTTAGCACTGCCTACCTTGGAAACTCTCTTCTTGGCTTCCGAAGGTCTTGTAGTCTCTGAAAGACCAGATTCAAGCATGTCATCAATTTCTGTCAATTCTTTACAGGATATCGGCAAATAATTTCCTTCGAGTCTCACATTGATTAGACCTCTAGGCTTCCTACCGTGTACGTGTTGTGACATTACAACATTACGAAGCTTTTTAATACTGTTATAAGTGAGATTGTTATACGCCATATTTAAATGGCATAGTACATTATTACCGTAACAGTATGTTTTATGATCCTTAACAAAAATACTCGAATCATCGAATGGATCAACAAATGGGCCAATCATATCTTCCACAATATTTGCCGCTTTATCACTGAACAGTGGTTCAATGTTCGGTATACTCCTTGTATGCTGGGCTGTCCCAGAACCAGAGTTATTATCCTTTTCCCAATTTTTCTTTTTTGCCATCACTATAGTTTTAGTCACCCTCCTTTTTAAGTTTTTCTTGTCTTCAGATGCTCTCACTTCTTTAGTTTTTTTGATGATTAAATCTAGTTTCCTGTGCAAGTAGATCATAAGTCTTGTTTTTCTGCTGTGGTCTTCCAAACTCGTTAGTGGAAACTCCATAAGTACATTAAATATACTTAGTGCTCCTACATCATTTATCATATTATCGGATAAGTTTAAATAACCGAGTTGTCTGTTAGACCTTAATGCATCAGCTAAGTATTGAGCACCTACATCTGTGATGCGGTTCGATGCTAAATTTAAAGCAATCAGTGTTTTTGCTGCTTTTTGTTGATAGCATAGTTTCGAAGCTATATTTTTTACTATTACGTCGTTTATTCTACATCTTGCCAAGGAGAGATGTTTTATAAAGCCCTGCTCTAACAAAATATCGTAATTGGCTTCCTTGATATACGAATGATCGAGACATATTTCTGTGATTCGGGATAAAGGTAGGATCTTAGCTATTTCGTGTATAATTTCGCACGTCAGACCACTGTTGATTACTATAGAATTTAAATATTTTTGGAAGCGGATGATTAGACCAATAATTTTGAATACTTTTCTCGGTATAGTTTGGTTTTTGAGGAATTTTATTTGAACCAAGTTGTGACTGGTATCGTAGATGGCGTCAATGCCTATTTTAGAGTCTGAATCCATTGCTGGCATGGTAGAAAATTTTTGTTCATTAACTGTGTCTGTACTGCTGTTTATGTGTGCTGGTCCTTTTGATTTCTTTGTTTTTCCAGTTGGGGTGGATTTTACACTTATGTATTCACCTGTAACCAACAAATACATCACTATTATTAGACTAAAAATACTACAATACAATACAACAATTTAGTATTTGAGAAACAATGACTTGTTTCCACAATAAAATGCCTGTAGCGCAATACCAACCACAGTTTAAGATTACCCCTAATATTTGGTAATTTGTTCCTTTGTTGTTCAATCCGGAGTTAAAGCCATCTTTCTTGGCATTAAGATTTTATCATAGATTCATTTACTTAACCTTGTTATTGTATTTATACTTACTTTGTGTAAACCTGGTGACCACCACTTTGGTTTCAACAAGCATTTGGCTACAGGCCCAGGGCACAAAATTTTCAAAGTCATCAGGCATCGGTTTGGGTGGATCCGTCCATTCGGCGACACGTGGATCTATGAAACTCATTGCAAATAATAATTAATTAATTAGAAGAAAATGTAAATTATCAAAAAACGTTCCGTGTGACATACTATGTCAAAAAATAATGATCATTTTCAAAGCGTTTTGTCATTTTTGTTATTCTTTATCTTTACTTCTGTTTCGTAATTGTATGCTGACTGATATGAAACTGATATTAAAAACTTTTGTTTTAACTTTATTGATTTATCCCCATTGACTTTATTGGTTTATTCCAAATTTCCCAATCGTTGAATCCCAACAATCCTCAAATTCCTAATCCCCAAAAGGTAGGTAACGCACTTGTAACACAGTGGTATTGCGGATGTCCATATGTCCATGGGTGGAGCCAGGTGGAGCCGATTACTTACCATCAGGTAATCCGTCTGCTCGTTTACCGGTTATTCCTTATAAAGTGAACTCAATCAGCTCTTCAATCGACGTCTCACCCTAGACATCGATGAGTTGTCGTTGGCTGTTTGCAACTTCTGCTAAAAAAATTGTAGCTTATTTCAATCTACCTAGATGTGCACCCTTATACTACGTTTTTTTCCTTTCCTAATTCACAGAGTCTACTAGTTATAATATGTCTTGTAGCTGATATTGCGATTACCTACAAGATACTTACAAGTAGCTAGAGTACTAAAAGAGCCACATCTCTAATTTCAGGTTGCGTAAAGATTAATTGAATTTTTGAGTTTGAAATTCCCAGTTGATTGGATGGAATCTGTAACACCTTTTTTCGAGGGGGGATTTATCAGCCAATGACTTCTCCTGCCCGGGTGAGGCAAGAGGAAGTGTCAGATTCTTACTGTCTAAAAACCATCCCGTTTCTATTCCTGCACTTTAGGCCAGAACCCCAGCAACCCGTTATGTCCTTCGCGTCTCCGTATCGGTATCAGCCCTATTGGGCCCCATCTGATGTGATCTGATGACTCTTTGAGGCGACGACGCGCCGTACGCTCGGGTTTGGTTCTGAGGCCTTAGTACGAGTTTCTTATTTGTTTAAAGTAATCGTAACGAGTACGCGTTCTGTGTTGTGATTGGCCGGGTCCAATGAACCAACCAATCAGAGGCCTTAGTACGAGTTTGTCTTTCGTTAAAGTAATTGTAACGAGTACGCGTTCGGCGCTGTGATTGGTTGCTTCATTGGTGCCAGCCAATCAGAGCGCCGAACGCATACTCGTTTCGAATACTTTAAACGTAAATGAAACTCGTACTAAGGCCTCAGAGCGCCGGACGCCGTTTTGTTTCGATTACTTTAAACGAAAAAGAAACTCGTACTAAGGCCTCAGGTCGGGCGGTGAGTTACCTGTTCTCGCCGTCTGCTGGCCGGAGATGGTCTCACGATCGACGATTACACCTACCATCTATGAAAGCAATTATAGCATAAAAACGATTTTATCGCTACTTCTTCGTTGCTCCTTACACGTTGTAAGATTGATTTAAATAATACAAGAATTTAAAAGAATAATGGCTTTATTAAAACTAAAATTAAACTAGAAACAAACACAAATTAATAATTAATCTAAAGACATAATTGTATCTCGAAATTATATTAAATATTTTTACATAAACTTAACAATGGTTACAAACTATAAAATTATATAATATAAAAACTATAATATTATAATCTAAAGATATTTTTAGATAAAATTTTACATTTTGATATTGAATTCCAATTTTACATAGTGGTTCTCATATCACGAATATCCTTTTCAATTGATTCTCTAAACGTTTTTACTCACTGTTTAACTGACAGGCAAATCTATTTATTACCTAGTTGGAAAACAGTTTTATTTATTTTATTTTATTAAAAAGATTTATGCACACAAACAAGCACATGGGTGGACTTAATGCCGCAGGCATTTTCTACCAGTCTGACCCTTGGGTGATGCAGAGAAAGTAATCAGTGGGTGCAAGAGCATGCGTTGAAGTTTTGTGGCATATCATACAACAAAAATACGTACATACATAAATATAACCTCAATGGGGATAAGCAGAGATTATAGAACGCCAATTGCTACGATTCTTAAATACATCTTTCGCTTCATCAACAGTTATCAGTCTTTTCATGCATGCTCGTCGGTTAAGGCTACTTTTAATTTGGCCCTTCTTTAATATATCGCCAATCTGGTCAGTATTTTTCCGTCTGGGACGCCCTCTATCGACGATATTATTTTATGTTAATCAAACAGAAAACATATTATGAAGCTAAGAAGGTATGAGGCATCATAAAGTATGTGATGTTGTTCTTACTAAGCTGCATAAAAGCTTGATTTGACATATTTTATTTAGAACTAAGTCCAGGATTAACAGATTTCCTTCTGAAATCAGTTGTTGATGCTTTTCGAAATGTAGATAAAATAGCTCCCAATGAATCATCAATGAACTTCAACTCCGAACAACTATCAGACAAGTAATTACCTTCGATGACAACGTTGACTAAACCTCTAGGTCTTCTGGCGAGAAGCTTCTGCTGCTTCAACACATCACAAAGTTTCTTGATGCTTAAATTAGAGAGATTGTTGTACGCTATATTCAAGTAGCTTAAAACATTATTACCCAAACAATACACTGTTGTCCCTCTAAACTCAACATTACCTGGACTGAACGGATCATTACCTGGACCCATTAAATTATCTACGATAATCTCTGCTCTTTCATACAATATCATTTCCATACTCTTAGTCATTGTATTCTCAGAGTCTATCTTCTTCTTCAATGCATTTGTAAGTGGCGGTTTAACTGCTTTTCGTCTAGCCATCTTTTTTTCAGCCAAATCACCATCCTCTTGCATGTTCTTCATCGTTTTTTGTAATAGGTTGTTTCTTTCTATTAAACGAACCATTAGTCTACTCCTTCTCTCAGTCGCTTCTTCAGGAGTTAATGGGAATTCCATAAGTATATTGAAAATACTTATTGCTCCATCATCACTTATCATGTTATCTGATAAATTCAAGTAGCCGATGTTTCTATTGCTTCGCAATACTTCTGCTAAACATTTTGCTCCGACATCTGTGATTTGATTCGTTGCAAGATTCAGAGCACATAGTTTAGGAGTTGGGTTCATTCGTAATAACTCAGAGGCAATTAGTTGAAGAGTAGCATCGTTAACGTTACATTTCGACAAAGATAAATGTTTTAAATTATCATGTTTCAATAGTATATGGTAGTTCCCTTCAGGGACGTATGTGTAGTCGAGGCATATTTCAGTTATATTAGATTTGGGTAAAAATTTTGATATTTCGTAAATCGCTGCAGCATGTGCACCACTGCTAATGATAATGGAAGACAGTGACGTATGGAAATGCAGTATAAGACCAATTATTTTAAATATCAGTCTTGGTATTTTAATAGTGTTCTTTTTATTGAAGTTTAATCGAACTAGTTTGTTGTATTCGTCATAAACAGCTTCAATGTAAACGGTTATTTCATCGCTGGGCACATCGATTTCATTGAGGTTGGATGTTAAATTGTGAGGTAGAGTCTCATTGGAATCGATTTCAGTCGGAATTTTGGGTATAAATTTGCTTTTGGTTTTTGTATTTTCTCTGCCTGACTGGTACATACCTGTTGATAGAGATAATTATTTATCAGCCTATGTACAACTACAAATTCTAATGGACAAAGACCAAGTCCTTCAATTTCTTTTATTTCTTCATGCTCTCGTTATTCAACAAGATTGAAAACGACTTGCATTTTGCGGCTTTCTGCGATATCATTACGGCTGATTTACTCAGGGTCAGTGACTGACTCTGAAATTAACAAGTCAGCGCTGAACGTTAAGTATTCGTGTAGGAATTTTGAATTCAGCGCTGTCTTCATGATGCTGTACTGACTTCAAATCAATTTACATTGGATTTCTTTTGGCTCAGCGCTGACTTATATTGCTGTGTCTGTGTAAATCTGCCTTTAGGTGTCTATCTTGCTCGTGGATGATTGCAATAATTTAACTGAAATAATCTATACAAATAAAAGAAAGTCGTGTTAGTTACACTATTTATAACTCAAGAACGGCTATATCGATTTGGATGAAAATTGGTGAGGATGTAGCTTAGAACCAGGAGACGGACATAGGATACTTTTTACCCAATACTTATTTTTTACTTTTAACCGAAAATCAAGAACGGGTACGGGAAATATCGGGATTGCGCGTACGAAGTCGCGGGCAGAAGCTAGTGACTGAAAAGAGAAATATATGGTATTACACAAGGTGTACTAACTTCGATAAGTACGAGTGATAACAACATTAGCTTCCATTAGCAGTTGTTTGCAGGCCCACGGTAGGTATACGTCAAAGTCGACCGGTGATGGACTCTCTAAAAGCTTTCTTGTATCATCTTCAAAATTATTTTTATAATCCATTATTAAATCTTACAAAAATATATCAATAATATTATAACAATCAAAATTACTCCATGTAAATTATCGAAAACTCTATATACTTTATATTCGTAAATGACAGTTGTCAGATTCAGAATTCATATCTTTTTGAAAGTTATTGTCATCTTCTGTCCTTTGGATTCTGGATTGAAAATCAAAAAGTGCTGAATGTGGGCGTAGAATTTATGGTATTATAAATTGAAAATGGGCTGTTTTATCTAGATCAAGGATTAGATCCATCCGCAAACTAATCCCAAATATTAAAACATTTTCAGATGAATAACTTAAAGACCCTTTATTCTCGGTAGGCGTATCAATACATAATATAAAACAAAGTCGCTTTCGCTGTATGTCCGTATGTATGCTTAGATCTTTAAAACTACGCAACGGATTTTGATGCGGTTTTTTTTAATAGATAGAGTGATTCTTAAGGAAGGTTTGTATATATAATACATGCATATTGCACCCGTGCGAAGCCGGGGTGGGTCGCTAGTGCCCAATAAAAGAGCCTTCGTTGTTGCACCACTTCACCAGTAACAATATTTTGAGCCAATATTACAAACATTGTTAAATTGATTATAGTAAAAGCTTTTCCTGCGAGATGGATGATGGAATATTTTTTATTTATGGAAGGGAGTTTTTATTATATAGGGTCGGCAAGACGCATGTAATGTCCCAAGTGTTGCAAGCATTCATAGGCCACGGTAACCACTTACCATCACGTGGGCCGTGCGCTTTTTTATATATAATTGAATAGGATGCAAACAAACAGACGTATGACTGATGATAACGACTGATGGTAAGCAATTAGCACCGCTCATGGATACCAGTAACACCAGAGGAGTCACAGGTACGTTGCCGGCCTGCGATTCGTTATTATTGTGAATGATTTTGCAACAACTTATTGTTCTTAATTTAAACAACAAAAATAAATATTTTATTTTTATTAAACTTAAATAATCATAACGTAAATTAAAATATACCCTAATCTAAAATGAAATGCACCATAAACGTGGAAAGATCAATAAATAAATTAAATCTAAAAACAAAATAATAAGCACAAATGATAATACATGTACAAAGTAAAAAAAATACTTGGTATTAATTTTAGACCTCAAGGGGAAGAAACTAAAAAGATAATAATATTGTATTGTATACATGTCAGCAATTATGAGATAATTGATTGCTTGCCACTAGGCTTTCCAGCAACAGATTTCTTTTTCATCGTTCCATTAGTTGCTTTCTGTATATTATTCAAATTAGACCCAATAATATTGTTAATACCCTGCAGTTCCACACAAAGCATGGGCAGGTTGTTACCCTCAATAACCACATTTACCAAACCTCTAGGATTCCTATTAAAATATTTCTGTGTTACCAAAACTTCATATAATCTCTTTATAGTGATATGACTGATATTATTATAAGCAATGTTTAAGTAACTAAGGGTGTTATTGCCATAGCAGTAAAAACAACCATCCTTCTCTTCCGTGTTCGTTAAACTGAACGGATCCTGGAAACCACCTAATTTGGCCTCAGCTAAAGATCGAGCTCGATCACGCAAATACTGTTCATGAGCAATGATTGAGCCTCTATCCATACTAGACCTAGGTGTTGTTATATCTCTATCCAACGACCTGTTCCTCCTTAACCCAGTTTTATTATTCTTTTTCTTGACGACTTTCTTAACTTCAGTTTCATTCAGTCCCGTAATAAGTGATGCAACTAATTCAATTTTAATTTTTAAATATTTCATGTATCTGGATCTAGATTCTCTTAACTCATTAGTAGTTATACGAAAATTTTGTAAAACATCGAGAATGCTCATTGCACCTTCATCGCCGATCATATTGTCTGCTAAATTCAAATAGCTGAGTTTTCTATTTGATCTCAGTACATCTGCTAGATATTTTGCACCAACATCAGTGATTCCATTTGTCGCCAAGGATAATGCTGACAGTGAATTTGATGCAGGTAAGGTAAAATACAATTTATTTACTATTGTTTTCACAACTGTATCATTTATTTTGCATTTGGATAAAGATAGATATTTCAAATGACATTCCGTTAGCAATAAATCATAATTGGCTTCAGGGATAAATGCACCATCTAAGCATAGTTCGGTAATATGAGAACTTGATAGGTATTTCGATATTTCATAAATCGTGTCAGCGTGCATACCACTATTTATAGTGATGTTCGTCAAGTGCTTTTGAAATGGGATTAGAAGGCCGATCATTTTTATAACCTTTGCAGGTATTGGAACAATGTTGTTGAGAAACTTTAGTTGTACAAGATTTCCAAGGCTATCGTAAACGGTTTCAACTGTTATATATTTGTCTGCTCCCATTAAATTTTTGTCAAATTTTGAAGTTTTTTCCTCAAAATCAGTCCCTGATGTAGGTGTTAGGATAGACGAAGGCTTTGGTTTGCTTTTTTTGGATTTAGCTGAGCGTTCTGATGTCGCAGAACTTTGGTATGTTTCTGGAAAAGAGAACAAAGGCTGTAATATCAAATTTGATAAGATGATTATCACTTCTTCATCGCATCTCTTGTCCAAAAGATATAGAGTGATATAGAAGATATTTTGTATAGCAGTAGAGTATGGTGTCTTCAAGTCCCCCGTAAATAGGTTGCTTATTGGTAAGAATGCACCATCGTCTGTCACACCTCGCTTACTATCTGGAGCGTTGGTGGCCAAACGTAGACCAAAGTCAAAGACAAAGCATTTATTTCAATTGAACCATAGTTTGTTACTTTTGAAACGTCAACAAATAGTCAGTCCGTCAGTGAAGCTAGGTGCTCATTGCAAAATGTAGATTCGAATGGAGAAAAATAACCCAGAAACTCCTTGCGTTACTCTTTTAAAAACTGATGTAATCGTTGACCTAGTATTAAAAGAATGGAACATTTTAGAGGCTGACAAAGATAGTTCAATATAACAACTTACTGAGGAGGCTCCGTATCACCACTACATCAGCTTCTGCTGACAATTGGGCACATGCCCAAGGCAAATATTTATCAAAGTCAGCCGGTGTTGGGCGGTCCGTAGTCGGCTGTATTTCCCCACTGACGGCAGTCTCATCAATCTCCATTTGTGAAAATATAGAAAAATAAATTCATACAAGATATAATATCTCTAAAAAAACTCGGTATATCACTATCGAAAAGTTTTCTCATCACAAAATATTGTTGTGTGAATGACAATTAAAGATTCTGCCAAATTACTTTTTTATATTTTTGAAATTTTTGGTTTGAGTGTAAAAAGGTTTATATCGAATGATCAATTTTCGTTACAGTTAAGTTGTCGTAGTCTGAAAGTGGTCTGAAAGCTGAAAGAAATACGTCTTGACAAGGACATTGAAAAAAGCCTCTTGAAACAACTACTGTCTCACCTGCCTACTATAGAGTTACACGAAGAGCATACACACATTGACACGAAGGACATCTGTCATTATCTTAAGTCTGGTAACGTGGAAATATATTACACACGCACACATAAATAACCCTCTGATATTTTGGTGCTTCAATCATTTCTATTGTCTGCCTTTTTTCAACGTCCTTGATCATGACATTATTATACACCGTTCGCAAGTCCAGACTCCTTAAGAGTCCAGACTCCTTCTTGAGCCGTGGAGGGCCTAACGGATTGCCGGATCCGGTTTAGTTTTTACTTTTTACTCAGTATGAGTCTGACACTCCATGTCGCTTCACTCGACTCGGGAGAAGTCATTGGATGATTTTGAAAAAACAAAAAGACTCCTTAACATTTCCATTTTATTTATTTTAGAGAGTGTTACTTGATATACAGTGCATGCTAGTGCCATCGTACCTTTCAATGAAAACTTAAACCTAAGAAAGATTTACCACAACGTCCCTGCGTCCTGTCCTGATGATGACAAATATCTTCTTTGTGGAGCAACCCTAAATACCTTTAAGCTGGTTTTAGTCTGACGCTGACAGCACGTGGACCGTCAGCGCTGGATGGCCGAGATGTATGAACTTCGAGGAAGCGTTTTTGAATGATGCGTTCTCAGCTGTCAGCGCCGTCGGTCAGCGAGACTCCAAAACCACCCTTATTTGTACGAAGATTAGCTCACGAAAATCTTATTCTCGAGAAAACGCGAAACATTAGGTACCAGTCCTCAATAAGGTATTTTCCCCACACAGTTGTAAATTATATGTAATTATGTAAATAAGTAAACTGTGAAGTAGCGAGTTATCACGGGGCGCGCCACCCCTCCCCCCGCTCCCCCTCCACACCGCGCCACCCCACGCGAAAACTACCAGCGATATAATAACTTCGTGTGGTTGCTTCAGTGTGTGGAGATGGAGTTTGTTTTTTATTATTTAAATAATCAAAGAGGTAATATTTTCTGAGAAGTGTGACATGAAGGTGAGTAGAATGCAATTTTCTTGTCTTTAATTCTTTAACATCAAATAGTCTATTTTTAATCTGGTATTAGATTTTTTTTCTAAAAGTTAATTTAAAAGTCTTAACACAACGTCACGAATGCTGCTTTAACATGGTTTTGATTGGGTAACAGACATTTAAGTTTCTTGGTCTCGTTGTTAATCTTAAAACTCCTGAGCTTGCTAAACTTTTAAGCATATCCTTGTAATGAAAACAAAATTATTATTTTATATCTTTAAAAGCTCATTTTATTTTCCATGACTGCTTACATATTGTGATGACTACATAGCTACATAAAGGGTCTACTTCTTTGAAGATTAAAAAGCACAGATTACACCTCCACCACCACCTTGTTGTATTATAACGAACCTCATGGTTATTAATCTAATTCCAACCCACAAAATAAATGATAAATCGCAAGCCCTCTCCACACTACCCCAGCCGACGCTGCGCGGCTCTAAGAAGTGTTCCGAGCACCGCCATCTTGCTTCTCATCTCCTTACGTGCCGCGAGATAATGTATTAAAATATGTACATACCGACATGTATACTTATGTATACATGCGGCTTGCGAAGACGTGTGTATACTGTATATATATATATATATTGTATAACATATATATGTAGCAACGTGACACTTGTCTTGTATTTTATGTACATACATATATATTTATGTGTGGGTGTATTTTGCGTTAACTGCGGTTTTATTAGTAAGGTTATTACTTTGATTCTCTGTTTTAGAGGCTTGTTACTGTGTTCGTGTCTTGGGTTCGATTTTGTAAAGGACGGTGTGTAATTTTAGTAAGCAACTATCTTGTCTTGTTCGAGGTCATTAAAAATAGGGGAACATAGAAAAACTCTCGACTCGTTCAATTATCGACCACAGAGAATTTTGTAAAGATTTGTAGGAATACATTGTTGCTGGATTAGGGGAACTAAGGTTATATGACATTGGTGCTTAATAATGACTTCGTATTTTCAAGATATAACAAAGACGCATCTTCTGTACGAACACAGTTAACATAATATACATAACATCACATTATGGCACTTAATGCCACTGTACAATGTAACACCCACTTTTCACTATTCTACGCTACACTATAGGGGGTGAGTCTATTGCCATATAGCGGGCATATTTCCAGAGTTCGTGCTACTACTGAGATTTTTCTAAAACCCAGTAATAATTTGCCCGACCCGGGAATTAAACCCGAGACCCCTTGCAGTAACGACCACTCGGCCAACGAGGCAGTTACCATAATGCTTTTAAGAACAACATTCTCAATAATTAGTATTCTTAATGAAAACAGAATACAATACCAACCTAAATTCACGACCCACACACCAAAAACTAAAACCAACTACAGACCTACATCTCTACCTACCCCATATTGGTATATATAAAATATTTCTTGCAGCAAGAGCTTGCAACTCTGCGTCAGCAACGTGTCTTAAGAACGGAACGTCGTCGTTCCTTCATTCTCAATTTAAGTTTGTTCTCAACTCGCTTAGAGGTAGGGCTGATACTGGGGGCTTAGAAATATTCATTTAAAAATACATATCCTAAGGCGGCCAACCGTCCCGTATTCTGCGGGACCGTCTCGTAATGCTAGGTGTAATCCCGCTTTGAAATAATTTATAAAACAGTCCCGTAAAACGTTAAATGCGTCCCGCAAGTCCCGCATACATATTTCTCTACTACACGACACAACCACGCGCGCACTAACAACAGCGCGAATAAATGAAGATAACTTGTTTGACGAAGTAAGTTATGTGTGTGAACGTGATCAATGATGTCCTAAAGGGCTAGAAGGAGAAAAAGTTCAGCACAGAACAACAATTTTTTTGTAGGAGGAATATCATCCAATGACTTCTTCCGCCTTGGATTAGGCGAGAGGCAGTAACAGACTCTTACTGACTAAAAACCACCCCGTTCCTACTCCTGCTTAGGCCATCCGCGGCTCCGTCAACAACACAAAAATTCCCGCATTGGACTTTCAGAAAGTTGGTCGCCTTAACATATCCAAACGTCACGACTTTTGATTTATTTCTTTATTTATGGGCAACCAATATTGTAATTGTTTTAAACTTAAGAAGGGGGATGTTACATGTATGTCTGTATTAACATACACCAAAATGCATGATAGGTTTTTAACATTTCTAAAATCGTTTGGACGAGCCATGCTTGAAGCCTAGTGCGGCATGAATGGGCCGGCTCGACCGGAGTGATACCACGGCCTCACAGAAGACCGACGTGAATCAACTTTGTGTTATGTTTCGTCGTGTGAGTGAGGTTACCGGATGCCCAATTACCCTCCCCCCCTTTCTCCAATCCCTGAATCCCTAACAATCGTCAAATTCCTAATCCCAAAAGGCCGGTAACGCACTTATAACGCCTCTGGTGTTCCAGGTGTTCATGGGCGACGCCGATTGCTTACCATCAGGTGATCCGTCTGCTCGTTTACCGGTTTATCCCATTAAAAAAAAGTTCACTATACAATGTCGTGTCATGTCATGTATCATTAATCAAAGAACATGATATTACAGCAAAAAGTTCAATTATCAAAAAAAGACATCTTAATAATACTTGTTAATCACAAATGTTATGTAATGTTACATTTTAATTTTGAGACTGTATAATTTTAATACGAGTGTAATATATTTTAACTCTCTGAGAATGCCCTACGTAAAAGAGTAGCAGAAAGTGCACCTATGTGATAATAGAAAACCCATTTACTAACTGTTTCATGTATCATGACCAAGGATGTTGAAAAACAGGCGGACACAGTCTCTTGAAACAACGACTGTGGCACCTGGCTACAATAGACTTACACGCAGAATACACACACATTGACACGAAGGACATCTCGTAACATGACCCGTCATAACACTTCATACATGACGGTGTTGCAAGTACACGTATTATGCACCGTTTGTAAGTCCAGACTCCTTAAGACTGAGCCGTGGAAGACCTCACGGATTGCCGGGGTCCGGCTCGATGTGCCGAGGAGTAGGAACGGGGTGGTTTTTACTCAGTATGAATTTGACACTTCCTCTCGCCTCATTCGACTCAGGAGAAGTCATAGGATGATTTTGAAAAAAACCAAAAAGACTCCTAAACATATCCTTTTTATTATTTATTTTAGTAGTGCCATCGTACCTTTCAATGAAGACTTATACAGAAGAAAGACTTACCTCACAGAAACATCCTAAAAAGATCCGGTAACACTACTTATTATCAGCATCGAAGTCGAGAACTCTTGCTGGCTGTTAGCCTGTTATCCAATTATAACCAATCGACCAACATCACATAAAACCTTTCTTATCTTATCTTATCTTAAGAGTTAAGCTGTCATGTCTTGATGCATTAAAAGCACATCAGGGTACTTACTCTTAAAACCAATCTCAATGTCAATGCAATTGCAATCCAATGAAAACTCAATAATTAATCAATGTCAAAACTATACAACCTCTATTGCAGCTGTTAATATAGCATTCAGAGTACGGAATATAAAACCAAACTCAATACCATTTAGTTCATTCAATACTCACGCAATACGGATGCAATGGGCGCTAGTGTTGAAACTCAAGAGTAGGAAATTTCACAATATCTATGTCGATCGATCGGAATTGGATTCGAGAGTAAGAAATAAAAAAACTGTTACTTACAAAACATGGCTAGCAACCCTACCTATTCGAAATTCAAAACGGAGCGCGCGGGGTGGTGGGGTTTCATAAGTAAGTACGTGTTTCTAAGTT